AAGAAATATCACAGTTACCTGTGGAACAGTTTCAGGGTAGGAACTGTCTACATCAACTTCTCCACTCCTCTTCTTCCATTCTCTCTCTCTTTCTCTTTTCACATGGATTTTTAAAAACTGTGGTAAAATTGGTTGGGCGCGGTGGCTCATGTCTATAATCCCAGCACTTTGAGAGGCCGAGGCGGGAGTTCGAGGCTGCAGTGAGCTATGATTGTGCCACTGCATTCCAGCCTTGGTGACAGAGCAAGATCCAGTTTCTAAAAATTAAAAAAAAAAAAAAAATAGTTGGGTACAGTGGCTCACGTCTGTAATCCCAGCACTTTGGGAGGAGGAGGCAAGAGGATTGTCTGAGCCCACAGGTTCAAGACCAGCCTGGGCAACTTGGCGAGACATCATCTGTATAATAAATAAAAAAATTAGCCAGGCATGGTGGTAGGCGCCTGTAGGTCCAGCTACTTGGGAGGCTGAGGTTGAAGGATCACCTGAGCCCAGCTGGTCAAGGTTGTGGTGTCTGTGAGAGTGCCACTGCACTCCAGTCTGGGCGACAGAGTGAGACTCCAACTCAAAAACAATAAAAAATAAAAAATAAATTGTGGTAAAATACACATACAACTTACCATTTTAACCATCTTTAAGTGTACATTCAATGACATTAAGTACATTCACATTATTGTGCAGCCATCACCACCATCCATCTCCAGAACTTTCTCACCTGTCCAAACTGAAACCCTGTCCCCATTAAGCATGAATTTCCCATTTCCCTGACACCTTCCATTCTACTGTCTGTCTCTATGAATCAGCTGTAGTTCCAGCTACTTGGGAGGCTGCGGTGGGAGGACTGCAGGGGTGGGAGGCTGCAGTGAGCCTTGATCGTGCCACTGCACTCCAGCCTGGGTTACAGAGTGAGACCTCAAATCAAAATAGACAAAGTGCAATTCAGTGTTTTTAGTATATTCACAGAGATGAATACCTAGGGACCTCATGCGAGTAGACCCCTATGGCATTTGTCCTTTTGTGACTGACTTGTCTCACTCACTGTAGTGTCTTCGAGGGTCATCTACCCTGTGGTGTATGTCAGAATTTCCCTCCTTTTGGAATCATAATTCTGTTGTATGAATGGATCATGTTGTATCCACTTATCTGCTGATGGACACTTGGATTGCTTCTACCTTTTGGCTGTCCCATCCTCTCTTGAACCCCTGCTTTGGCTGGCTTTTATTAAAATCATATTCAATATTGAAAATGGGAGCTGCCATGGAAAATGTAGAGATTTTAAACATCTGACCTTTCTGGGTCCAGTGTCTGCCTCTCATAATAACCATTTCTTTCTTTGTTTTCTTTTTTTTTTTTTGAGTTGGAGTCTCACTCTGTCACCCAGACTGGAGTGCAGTGGCCGCTTCCGGCCACCGCACCTCGACCTGCTGGGCTCCGGCAATCCTTTCGCCTCAGTCTTCCAAGTAGCTGGAACTACAGGCACGCGCTACCACGCCCGGCTGATTTTTTTTTTTTTTTTTAATTTATTGTAGAGATGAGGTCTCGCCAAGTTGCCCAGGCGGGTCTCGAACCCGCGGGCTCAGGCAATCCACTCACCTCAGCCTCCCAAAGGCGCAGGATTACAGACTGAGCCACCGAGCCCGGCTCCTTCGTGTCCTTCTAATGACACATGCAAATGCATATGCCTCTCGTGTCTGGAGACTAGAGTATGTCTTTCCTGTATGCCTGGTGGGAACCAGCACCATGAACCTGGGATGGGAGATGGTAGACATATATGTTCTCGGGGACACGGCTTTGAGTTTTGAGGACTTAACGGGGATACACACAGCTCTGCAGCTTGAAGCCAGCCCTGGTCTGATCTCAGAGAGTGGTGCTGCCACATGGGTAAGCAATGGTACAACCGCTTTGCTTACTCCTAAGGTGTTGAGGGCATAGGTATGGCGCACAGTTTTATTTTGGGGTGATAAAGTGTAAAATTGTGGCCATGGTTGCATATCTCTGTGAATATACTAAAAACACTGAATTGCACTCTTTATTTTGAGTTGAGGTCTCACTCTACCATCCAGGCTGGAGTGCAGGGGCATGATCATTGCTCACTGCAGCCTCCAACTCCTGCAATCCTCCTGCCACAGTCACCTGAGTAGCTGGGACTACAGGTGTGCACCACCATACCCAGCTACTTTTAAAAATTTTTCTGTAGAAATGAAATCTCACTATGTTGCCCAGACTGGTCTCAAATTCCTGGACTCAAGTAATCCTCCCTTGGCCTTCCAAAGTGTTGGGATTACAGGTATGAGCCACCATGCCCAGAGAATTGTATACTTTAAATAAGTGAACAGTATGATATGTGAACTATGGCTGGATAAAGCTGTTCATACATGGTTGCTTACATGGGAAGTCCCTCACATGGCCAGATCGGAGTGCATACTGTTTGTGTCTCTTGCTCTCGGCTTCTCCAAGTATGGGGGCTAAGGACAGGCTGGAAGTGCCTCCCCTCACATGGCTTCCTCACTTGGGCTAAGGCTATGGAACCTGATTTTGCCTGCCCAGGAGGGCAAAAGGAGTTTGTTTTAGTTAAAGCCAAGGGGACTTAGCTGTGCTTGGAGGTGCCTCAGAACCACAAGTATCAGGTGGGGTGGGAATGAATCTGCACACACATGGGACCCTGGCAGTGAAGCCCAGTAAGTGGAAAAGCAGAGACATGTAAATCTGTGCCCCCAAGTCATGGCAAGGATGTGGAGGATGGGGGAAATCCCCAATCCCCAGAACAGGCCATGCCATGCCTAGTTGGTGGGACTTTGCTTCTAGTGGGCTTTTAAACGAAAATAAAAAAGACTTCAGGCAGGAGCAGAGGGCACCAGCCCATTCTGGAATAGACTTAGGGAGTCCTGGGTAAGTGAGTTTTAGCGAGGAGAGAGTCCAGGCCTGCATCCTTGCCAGAAAGTGGGGACCTTGGAGTGGAGTCATGAATTCCAGACTCCAAATGTAGGGTCTACACCTCTTGATTTTGCTTGAGGCTGGCCTGGGCTTAGGCTCCACCTTGAGTTGGGCAGAACCATTTATGAAGCCAATGTTTATTGAATGCCTACAGGGTACAGGTGTGAGCATCGCTTGGCGTCACTGTGAACTGTGTGGCCAGAAGGTAATTCCCAACAATAAGAACACAGCACTTGCCGAGTGCCTACATGCTCCTTGTGCAGACGTTGCCACTGTATGAGGAGGGCCCGGAGGACAAGGGCATTTGGCCTCTTTTCAAGATCACACAGGTGGATGACAGAACAGAGTTAGAAGGCATTTCATGACATGATCACTGAGAGGGTTTTTTTCCTCTCACGGTGGAGGTTGGAGGTGGAGAGCAGCTGTCCTAAGTTCAGCTTCCACAAGCCCTGGTGCTTTGCAAATGGGTAACTGAGGCAAACGCAGGGATGGCTATGGCTCTGGGCACATCACCTGCACCATGGTCAGCATGGTGTTGGGATGTCAGGGCCAAGAATGCAGCCCGGGCCCTCACTGAATGACCCTCAAACACAGCAGCACTGCTCCCGTCTGGGCCTCTCCGGGGCGATGCCTCATTGCAGCCACCAAGAAAAGCACAAGCAAGGACTTTGGTTCTTGTGTTTGCTGATCATCCTGACCAATTATGAGAATAAACAGGCAGAACCCTGAGGACTGGAGGTGGCCCCAAAAGCTGCAGCTTCCTTCAAGAGACAGCACTGAGACTCCCAGAGGGGACCACTGGCCTGAGACCAGCCCGACTACACGGAGAGGGCTCCAGGCCTCTTCTGTTTCCAGTTTGCACACATGGTTTCCTCTGGCCAGGGAACCCAACTCTGTCCATTAACCTAAAATCCATGAACAATTCTGTCAACAAGGTTATTTTTACTAGTTTGGCAAAATCCCCCTCTGGTCCCCAGGAACTGAGAACTTATTAGCAACTGATGGCAGTTTGCCTGGCAGCATCTCCTATCTCTAGGCCCTGATAGGTAACCTCAGGAATTGATGCCTGGTTCTCCAACATGACCTCCAGCTATTTGGCGGGGCAAGGGCTGCACTACTGAGGCTGAGTGGTGGAGAGGAAAGACTTGAGAGTAGAGAGACTGGCCTCACGTGCTGCTGCAGGGCCCTGATTGGTGGCTGCTGTCCTGTTGTGCAAACCCAGGCAGTGACCCTGGACTGTGCATGCTAGAGGTCCAAAAATATGTATTAAGCTGTTGTGCTTTGGTTGTAGCTGGTGTGGGGGACAGGCCTCAAGAAGCATCGGCATGAGATGTTCTTTATGGGTCATGTACATCCCCAACTTGGAGGGCTTCTCTGGAGGACTCCCTTCCCAGTAATTGGAATCAAAGATCCAGATCTTTGAAGCAGGCCATCAGCTTGAATTTCAACATTTTTGCTTTCTCTTGCAAGGAAGAACACTCAAATCCATCACAGATCAAACTGTTGATTCAGTCTCCAGGTCCCAGGACTGCAGGGAGGCGGGCGTCTGGCCTCACCCTGTGAAGCCTTGGTAGCTTCGTCAACCTGCAAGCGGGACATCAGGCTCTGGAAGTCGCTTTCGTCTCCTCCCCCCCCACCGCCTTAGTTGTATGTAGGAAGCTGGCAGGCAGCAGAGGCTGCAGGTGTTGACGTCCTAGGATGCCTCAAGACCAGGGATTGGCAGCTCCTGTGAGGGGAACTACCAACTGTGTCCCCTGAGCCCGGCCTATGTCACTCCCTCCAGGCGCTGCCCCAGATGGGTCCTAGCACCCTGATCCCCCGCTTCCTGCAAAGGGCAGCCCTCGGAGGTCCTTTCCCAAGTCTGTCACGAGAAATTGCTAGTTTCCCGGCACATGAGGGGACAAACGAAAAGCCCCAGCGCAAGTACGTGAAGCCTGCAAGTGGAAGGGGCCAAAGACCCGAAGTCTCAGGGTTAACCGGAGGGGGCTGGACCCGGCTCCGCGGCGCGGGCCAGAAAGAAAGTCAGAACCGGGTCACCTCGCCGCGGCCCCGCCCCCTCGAGCGCCACTGCCCCGCCCCGTCGGGTTGCTAGGGGAAGTGACGTCACAGCGCGATGGCGGCGGCTCCTTTAGGCCGCTGAAGGGGAATTTAGGCCCGGAAGATCCGAGTCCATCCGCGGCGGGGAGAGGGCAAGCGTGGCCATCAGGGGCCGGAGCAGGGGCGGCGGCGCTCGGACTGTCCTATCCGCCCCGTATTGAGGCGCTGGGAGCGGCGGGGCGGCAGGAAAGCGATGGTGAAAGCGGGGCCGTGAGGGGGGCGGAGCCGGCAGCCGGACCCGCAGTAGCGGCAGCAGCGGCGCCGCCTCCCGGAGCTCAGACCCAGGAAGCGGCCGGGAGGGCAGGAGCCAGCCGGGCCGCCGCCGCCGCCATGGAGCTGAGAGTCGGGAACCGATACCGACTGGGCCGGAAGATCGGCAGCGGCTCCTTCGGAGACATCTATCTCGGTGAGGCCCTCGGGCCGCCCGCGCCGCGCCCGTGGACGGCACCCTGTCCCGTCCCGTCGTTCGAGGATCCCCGGGCTCCGCGACTGCCGGACCCAGCGCTACCGTGGAAGGAAGTGTCGGCCCCCGCGGGTCTGCGCGCAGGAAGCTCGGGGCTCCCGGAGGCTCTGGCGCTGCCGGTCATGGCCAGAAACCAACGGCCGGCGGGGGGAGCAGGGTACTGGGGGGGGCAGCGGATCGGGGGAGGGGCAGGGTCTGGGGGACAGCGGACTGGGGGAGGGGCAGGTCTGAGGACAGTGAGCTGGGGGAGGGGCGAGGTGGACAGGATCTTCGGGGTGACGGAGGACCGGGGGAAGGGGCAGGGTATGAGAGGAGGGGCAGAGTTGGAGGAGAGCAGCGGACCAGGGTAGGGGCAGGGTCGGGAGCGGGAGGCGGCGGGCCGGGGGAGGGGTTAGGGCCTTGCGAGGGCGGGAGGGGCAGGGCCCGGGCAGTGGGGCGGGCAGCAGCTTCCTCTCTACGGCTAAGGTCGCCGCAATAAACAAAGGCCACGCTCGTTTCTCCGCATCCTGGCTTGGTGCTGACTGTGGTCTCCCTCCTTCAAAGGTGGTTCCTGCATCTTGCACACGTGGGGGAAAATGTCAAAACAACCCGAATGCAGTGTGGAGGTGGGGGGTGTCCCAGTCAGAAATGAGGAAAGGCCCGGACTGCGTTTTGAGGTTCCTCTTGGCTTGCTGCTGAGACCCTTGAAGACCATGGCGGCTCTGGGTAACTCCCCCATTAGAGGGGCCTGGTGACCCCCGGACTGCAGCCTTAGTCCTGAACAAGGCTGGAAATGTTCTCTTTGAGCTAGGACGTGGGTGGCCCTGGGTCTGTCCGGAGCCACTCAACCTTGGAGTAGTAATTGAATACAAGTTAGTTAAGCATCTGTTGGCAAAATGAGGCAAATTAAGTAGTAAAGTTATACTCATGCGCTGTCCTTTAGACTGTTAAAATTCTGAAGACAGATTTGGGAAAATGATATTAGAATGTTCTGGGTTGTATCAGATTTACAGTGGAGGAATATGCACTTATACACAAGTGTAATAAAAGGTTGCCAAATCGTCGAATTGGTAATTTGACAGTAACTTAATTTTTCTGTATGTCTCAGTGGAATTGTGTTATGTGTCAGTTATTCCAAACCCCGAACTTGAGAATTTGTAGCCTGGCAGGTGGTTTGCCTACAGAGGGACTGTTGCAGCCCACCTTTGAGGGCTAATGTTCTTTTCTTGTTCTTTTGGGCATCCCCAGCCTCTGTGCTTCTATTTGACTACTGTTTGACTAATGTACCTGTTAGGCTGGATCAGGAGTCAGATTGTATGTCAGTAATGCTCTGGTCATGCCTTTCAGATGAACCCATTTGTGAGCGCTCCCCTATACTCACACTTCCACTTTTTACCTGAGAGGACTCAGGACCTTGTGGGCTGACAATGTTAGGATGAATCTGCATGTTTGGGTGGCTCATAAATATTTTTGATGCCTAGTTAACCTACAGGGTAACCTCATCACATTCCATATTGAACCTATACTTCTGCCTTAATGGCCTGCTGAGTAAAATATGCTTTAGGGACATTTTGGTTTTACTGTTTAAACATTTATATTCAAGTAGTCAGCCAGATGTCTTCCCAGCAGTGTTTTGGGAATCAGAGTGCTGGGCAAATGCGAGTTGTTTGGCTTATTTATAGAAGAATAGATTTTGGATCTAGAAGCTATATGGAAAAGCCCTTCCATTAGCCACCTTTAGGCAGGCATCAAAAATAAGATATTTTGAAACTTTCTGTTCTCTCTTCTAAGACCTGGTCAAACAGCTTTGGGCTTTCCAAAGACAAACTCAAAACATCAGGTTGTGGTGTGGTATCACTAAGTCATTCTCCAAGATGGAGAGTGGACCACTTGTGCTCACTCACTGTTGTATCCTTGAGCCTCACTTTGTGCTGGGCATACAGTAGGCATTTTATGTGATTGGGTCTTTGTGGGGACAGGCCGTGTCTATTCTTGTGTTCTAAGACTGCATGTCCATCAGTTACACTTCTGGTTTCTTATGTGGACTTGAGCACGGCTGAGTTTTTTCCATCAGCATTGGCTCTTTGCTATCCCATTGAGAAAATGAAATGCAAAATGGTCCTGTTAGCTTGAGTGAGACAGGTTGGAATGGTGGATCTGAGGAAGGTTACAGTTCTGTTAAAGGTGGTTGGTCTGAAGACCGTGAAATGGGTGGGATCATCAGACTCTCGTTTTCTTCATTTCTCAGGGCAACCATTTAGACGTAAGTTGAGGAACTGAGTCTTCATTTGACATCTGTATGTCATATGTATTCTAGTATGAGATAATTAAACCCATTCCTACCATTGTACTTTGATATTCACTCCTATAGGAGAGTTCACCTTTTTCTGAGCCTAGCATTTGGAGGTTTGGGTTTCTACCTGGGACTTTCTTCTAGATGTTTGGAAGTGAAAACAGGAGAAGACTGCTTCGTCTAATGAATCGCCTGGTGAACTGAAAAGGTTGGTGCTGGCCTGCCTTCCCTGGTAGCCTGCAGTGCTGATATTTGGGGGGTGGGGCTGCAACCCTGTGCCCTGCCAGGGTATCACTTACATGCTTCCCAAAACTGCCCTTTTGTTTTGTTTTGTTTTGTTTTTTTGAGTTGGAGTCTCATTCCATCACCCAGACTGGAGTACAGTGGCTGCTCCCGGCCACCGCAGCCTCGACCTGCTGGGCTCCAGCAATCCTTCCGCCTCAGCCTTCCAAGTAGCTGCAACTATAGGCATGTGCTACCATGCCTGGCCAATTTTTGATTTATTGTAGAGATGAGGTCTTGCCAAGTTGCCCAGGCGGGTCTTGAACCCATGGGCTCAGGCAATCCACTCACCTCGGCCTCCCAAAGGGCAGGATTACAGGCTGAGTCACCGAGCCCGGCTAAAACTGCCCTTTCAAAAGTGGCAGTGTCTTGAGGCTGTTTCTCAGATGCCCAGGCTTTAGAAAGTGTAAATACTGGACTTGGGCCATTGTGTGACCCCAAAACGTCCAGTCTACATCTTCAAATTTGCCAATTCTAGACGGTTTTTAGGGATAGGCTGACTGAGAGGTGGCACAGCCACACCTGTGCAGTGCACACCTCAGTGGCCTGTCCTGATGTGGAGTGAGGACAGCCTCCCTAGCCCTGTGTGGCCCTCTGCTTTCACATCCACATGGTGTAGCCATTGCTATGGAGGTGACATGCTTTTTGAGGCAGTGGAAACCAGAAGTCCTTTCACTTTGGCTGGCAGTGTACCACTTATAAACTAGTTACCATTCAATGTCCTTAACATGGACCATGTGCTTCCAGCTCCATTGTGAGGGTGTTTGAGGGAAGGAGGGTGCCAGGCTGGAGGCCAGGCTGCCTAGTGTGTTGCAGGTGCCAGGCTGGAGGCCAGGCTGCCTAGTGTGTTGTTAATAGAGTCTTGCTGTATTCACCATTTTAACAGAGTGCCCACAAGGTTCTCCATGACCAGAACCAGGGGGAGCAAAGCTGCTTTGGCCTGTGTTCTCATCCACATTTGTCTTCTAGAGGTGAGCAGCAGGATTGGAGGACCTGAGGGGCATTTGTACTTCATCCCTTCACTGTCAGTTTGTCCACCTGTTACCTGGACTGTGCAGTCTGACTTCATAATATGCACAAGTGCTTCATTTCTATTTTCTCATCTTCCCCTCACTGACTTTGACTTCTCTTGAGAGGTCCCCTGCAGGGTGTCTGGCACACAGTAGGGCACCAAGATGCTGAGTAGCCCTGAGAGGAAAGTAGTCAGCTATTCTTGCTGCAGCTTCCAAAGTTGCCTCCCTGCTATGCTGAGGACTATGGGCTTTCTGTTTACCTTGGAATTTGAGTTTAACCTAAGTGATTGTAATGAGAAGTCATGATATTGCTAACGATTGCCCCAGGAGATGATCTTTGCCCTGCTGTTCGAGGCGACTCCCTGTTTTTTTGTTGATAACACAGTCTTTAATGGGAATTACTAGCATCCAGGCTAGTAATTCAGAGCTACCTTCCTGTCTCAGGACAGAGTCACACTCTGGTTAGGTTCACTTAATTTGCCATTTACTTTTGTCTGCTCAACTTGAAGGACATAATTTTGTTTTCCTAGGATGAACATTAACCTGTGTCTAAACGTAGATTAACACCTATGCTGGCAAGAGAAGCTCTGTCTCAAAAGCGTTGAGGTTGTTCAAGTAATAGAATGTCCTTGGTATAAGCAGACAACCTGAATAGACATCTACCTGTCACTGGATTTTAACTTGTGGGTCTGGAACCCAGAGCTCAAATGATATCTTTTAAATTCTTGTTCTTCTTCTAGGTAGTACTTCTCAGACTTGATGTGTAGTGAAGGACCAGGTTTTATAATATCTTTTTTATTTTTTGATAGCAGGATTTATTGAGAGGACAGAAAAGCTCCCAGAGGGGAGGGGACCCGAGGGGGTTGCCCAAGTTTTATAATTTCTAATCCGGTGTCATGCTAAATTGCTCTCATGGTCCTCAGCACCTCCTGCTGCCTCGGGGACTGATGGCCTTTTGAGGACCTGACTTTGAGCAGCACTGCTAGTGGGGTGGAGGAGGTATCTCCACCGGGCGAGGTGGAGCAGGGCTGCAGGCCAGGGGAGCTGATTTGTGCTTGATAGGCTCATGAAAGTTGGTGTCGAAGGAATCCACTGACCTTAAAGCTCTGCTGCTTGGCATTTCTACTCAGTGGGTGGTGGAGTCCCTGCTGGAGGTCCCCTTTCCCCCAAGTGTTGCTGCACTCACTTCTGTGCACAGGGCGTGTGTCCAGCTGCTCTCCTCTGTCTTCTCAGACTTGGACAACCTTGGTGTCTTGATTCCACAGGAGGCTGACTCTGTGCTGGCGCAGGACATGGTCCTGGCTCTGTGGTCCGATGTGATTCATATTCTGTTCCGGAGTGGCCGGTGGTCACTTACCCCGTCAGTGTTGCCGGGGTGACTGTCAGACATAAGCCTTATCAGTCACAGAAAAGTAGAGTTAGAGCTGTTCTCTTCCTTCTCCAAGATGCTGGTTGAGCAGGCCATGTGACCCCAGACTACCCTATCACTCTGGACTGCCAGCTGGCTCGGGTGGTGGTGCTGTCACAAGAGGCCCCTCTTTGGGGTGCAAGGAGTCGCTGACGTAACTAGTGAGATGAGTCACTGTCCCTCCTGGCTGGTGAGTTCAGAGTCCAGGTCCTTAAAGGAACTCAGAGTTCATTTTTCTTTTGCTCAGTCTGTTTTACTATGAAGTCATTTCTCATAATTGGATAGATTGTCACAACTGTAGGCAGGAAGAACAAAATGTATTATCTGTCTTTGTTTTGAGTGCCTCTAAAAGTCTCTTTTGTTGGTGGGTGAAGTTCTTAAATCTGGCATGGTCACTGGCGGCGACTGGGTGGTAGGGATTCCTTCGGACTATAGTGCTGGCATCAGTTTTGGACCCAGGCTTGCTGGAGGTGGCATATCTCATGCAGCCATCTGAGCAGACTGGAGGTAATTCTGTTAACCCCTAGTTCCTGGGTGTTTGCAGCACACGCGTGGATATCAACAACTCAAGTTGTTGTAATGCTCCTGACCTTGCTCTGCCTTTCATCTGGAAGTCTCAGAATGCTGTGTAACTGTTAACCCTTTCATCTCCATAATTTTCTCGTGAAGCAGACATCAGACCTCCCTGCTGATTTCAATTGACAAGAGAAACTGAATTACCAAGGACTATCCTGTCTGTCCTATGCCCAGCCCCATGGTGTGCCCAGCACAGTCTCCCAGGGTTCTATCTGGGCTGTGAGAGCTATTGTTAATTCCTTTCCAAGTGCTTTGTCCTTAGAAGGAATCTGTGAGGGGGAGGAGAGCTAGGTATGTGCTGTGTCAAACTTCTTTTTCTGTTCTCTCCAGTTGAAGCTCCTTGGAGGCATCATGTAGTAAATAGAGGGAGAAAGGTCTGGTGCATAGTGCTGGGCCAGATTCAGTCTCTGAAGCATTTGTATGTGAATCTTGGAGGGGTGGTGGTTGTCAGATTTGTAGCTCCTTATTGGAGTAGAGCATTTCTAGGTAAAAACTAAATTTGCCCCCAGGAGGCTCATAGGCCAATCATTCCAGTATTGGCAGATGTGTCATCAATTTTAGCTGTAAACTGACAAAAGATGTGTACCTGATATGTATTGATAGGTGGTACAGTTAGGGCTTTGAAAACAAAGGCCATTCTTCTCGTCTAGTGTCCCTAGGAAGGGAGGCAGCATTTCTTGGCCTGGTTGGGGTCTTTTCCAGACCTTCAGTGTCTGGAATGTGTTATGAACCAAAGTCTCTGGTTTATTATCCAGAGATGACTCCTGCAGCTTTGTGAGGACTAAACCAACGTGACAATTGCCTGACTATTAAGGGATGGATATGGCTCGTTGCTGGGCCTGGCTGAACTGAGGTGGTGGCTCTTTAGTAGAAACCCAGCACTCCCTTGAGAGGGAGACTCAGACCCACTGCAGAGGCCTGTTGAGGCAAGGTAGAAAAACAGGGACAGAGTCACCCTGGAACGTTGCCATGGCCTGCCTGGGATGAGTGAGACTAAGAGCCCATGATGATAGGGGGTGCAGACCCAAAAGGTGGCCTGCAGATGGAGCCACAGCGCCTGGTGATTGCTGGGAGTGGTGTTGGAATAACAAATAGATTTCCTGTACTGCTCAAATACTTCCTGTCTTAAAAGTGAGAACAAGACTAATTTCCCACAGATTTGTCAACCGTTGGTACCATCTTATGGTAGTAGGAAGTAGAGCGCATCCATCATTTGGTCCTAGGAAAATTCACATAGTGCTGCTTGTTTCTGTTACCTGTTGTTGTATTGGGTTAGGTGGTGGACACCCTATAATGTTTGTGTGGTTTTTTCTTTGCCAAGGTACGGACATTGCTGCAGGAGAAGAAGTTGCCATCAAGCTGGAATGTGTCAAAACCAAACACCCTCAGCTCCACATTGAGAGCAAGATCTACAAAATGATGCAGGGAGGAGGTATGTCCTTTACTTGTTAAAAATAAAACCAAGGTCTTGTTTGATAAAGGAAAACTTGTTATGGATCAAGGTCTCTGGTTTATTTTGGGGAAAGGGGAGGAAGATCCTCATCTACACCCTTGAACAAGTCATAATGACTTCTTTCAGAGCCAGTCTTGGACACAGAGGGCCACACTCAGCAGAAAGAAACATAATCCTATGCTTTTGTTTTAATACTACCGTCCTTAACTTCATATTAGGTAATAGCATCTTTGAAGTCAAAGGTTTGTATGACTATTAAGTGCACGCTCCTGGTGTTGGCGTCTGACCCCTCAGCAGTGGCCATGGCTGGTCCCAGCTGTATTCATGTCATACCTTGGGGCCTTCCTAATGTGTGGTCCCTGGGTGGCCACTGCTCAGTCAAACAGTTTGCTTGCAGCTTTGAGGATGTCCATTCAAACTCTGCTCTAGTTATCTTCTGAGTGAAGCAGTAGTTTTGAACTTGGTGACTGCTATGACCCCTTCCAGCTCAGTTGCTATCTAAATTCTGTGAACTCTCCTCAAGGGCCTTATGTACCTGGTATTAGGCAGTGAGTCCAATGTGGAGCCAGAGAGCTTCCATCCTGATCTCAGAGTCTACCCTTTAGATTTCTCTGAACTTTCAAGTAGTTTGGCTGATGGAGTAGGAGGGAATTTTATGTGGGATTTCAGAGCAGTGAAGACTACATCTTTTTTTCTTTTTTTTTTTTGAGTTGGAGTCTCAATCTGTTGCCCAGACTGGAGCGGGCACTGGAGCCTCGACCTGCTGGGCTCTGGCAGTCCTTCTGCTTCAACCTTCCAGTAGCTGGAACTATAGGCGTGCACTACCACACCTGGCTAATTTTTTTATTTATTGTAAAGATGAGGTCTCGCCAAGTTGCCCAGGCAGGTCACAGACCCACGGGCTCAGGCAGTTCACTCACCTCAGCCTCCCAAAGCGCGGGATTACAGGCTGAGCCATTGAGCCCGGCGAAGGATACATCTTAACAGCAGAGCCTTGGTGCAGCAGAAACCCTCTTTGAGAACAGGTCGTGTCTGTCATGTCTGAAGAGTGGTTGTCACCGCCTCTGTGAGAGTCCTTGTAGTCAGAAGCCCTCATGGTACATTTGTGGGTGGGGAGTGGGGTTAACTTCCTCAGCATTAGCCATGTGTTTACTGCCTCTGTTGGCTGTTTTGTCAGCAGAAAGGAAAGACTGTGATTTGACTTTTTGACATCTTTTCTCAACAAAAGCAATGTAATCTGTTACTGTTAGAAACTGACATTTCTGGGTTTTGTAGCACAATGTCTTTGGCAGCAGAAAAATCCCAAAGCAGTAGACAGTCCTGTAGGACCTATTGCAGAGAGGAGCTTCCAGTGTGCCCTGCTGTGGACCTCACATGACCAGGGGAGGCTGTGGGATTGAAAACTGACCCAGGGAAAGGTCAGCAGAGTCCCTGCCTAAAGACCTGTACTCTGGTGACCCTTAGTAGAGGACAGACTTCTCAAGGGCACTAGGGGATGTCTGCGTAGCTTTTAAGGTTGTAGCAGGTAGAGTAGAACAAGATGATGCAGGATTTGTCCTTTGCTGGGCAGGAGTCTAGTACAGAAACACCTAAGTTTTAAGGAGCAGCGTCTCCATGAGAACTTTAGGAAAGAAAACCAATTCCTTAAAAACCCATTCTGGGTGCTTTGTGTTAACACTGAACTGGGAAGAATCTATATGGTTTGTAGCAGGGTTTCTCCGCCTTGGTACTGGTGCTATCTGCTGTGGGCCATTCTCTGCCCTGTGGGGTTGGGTGGCATCCGAGGTGTTGGCACAGCCTTCCCCTCAGTTGTGACATCAGAACTTTTAAGTAATGCCAGATGTCCTAGGAAGCCGTTTGGACCCTGATATAGGGTCTCTCTTGTTCTTGGCTATCTCCTTTTTCTAGCATCTTGGAAACTAAACAGGATTTTAGAAATGGATTTCCTCCCATTTAGGCTTTGAATGTAGAGCCATGTTTCTGAATATTTCCCAGGCTTAGGCTGGGTTTTGGCTCCTATTGTAAATGCATAGTTGGTAGATATTATAATGATCTCTATTTTAGAATACAAATTATGTCCAGGAAGCAGAATACATCATTCTGACAGTGTTTCTTGAATTAATTCTGAGACTAAACTGGTACTCGGCAGATACGGGAATCCGCTTTACCCCAAAACCACCAGGTCTTGTTGCTGTCCAGCCTCTTGAAGAGCATCTCTATTGGCGAATGCAGGTTTTATTGTCACTGCAAGAGACAGAAAGCACCTCTAATTGTGGTTTTTCTATGTCTCATGTAAGAGTCTAGCAGTGGTGCTTACACTTGATGATACAGGCTGCGTTGCAGTAGAAAGCCCAAGGCTGAGTGGCTGCATTCCATTATCTGTGGCTTGCTGTAGTGTGGGACTTGTCTGAGAAGCTTCTGGGTAAGGGTGGTGGCATAGTGTGCCAGTCGGTCACTGCTGTCTGTGGGAGCAGTTGGTGTTAAAAAGCACACACAATTTAGCTGGACGTGGTAGCACGCACCTGTAGTTCTAGCTACTTGGAAGGATGAGGTGGCAGGATCGCCAGAGCCCAGCAGGTCAAGGCTGCAGTGACCGGGAGCAGCCACTGCACTCCAGTCTGGGCGACAGAGTGAGACTCCAACTCAAAAAAAAAAAAAAAAAACACAAAACAAACAAACAAATAAAAACCACACACGTTATTCACTGCTAACAGCAGAACTGGGCAGCAGGCACTGGGATTCTCAGCCTCATGTTACAAATGAGGAAAGTAAGGCATAGAAGCCTACATCATTTTCCCAAGGACACAGACTTGAACTTGGTGTTCCAGCCCCTGAGGCCACTTCTCCACAGCAGCTGTCTGCTTCCACTCAGAAAGGAGTGGTGGTTGCCCACTCTGAGCTTCAGCTGCTAGAAATGTACCCCAGATGCTTCCACCTGTCTAAAATCTGGTTGGAAGCCTGGCTCGGTGGCTCAGCCTGTAATCTCGTGCCTTTGGGAGGCTAGGGTGAGTGGATTGCCTGAGCCCGCGGGTTCGAGACCCGCCTGGGCAGCGAGACCTCATCTCTACAATAAATAAAAAAATCAGCTGGGCGTGGTAGCGCATGCCTATAATTCCAGCTACTTGGAAGGCTGAGGCGGAAGGATCGCCGGAGCCCAGCAGGTCGAGGCTGCGGTGGCCGGGAGCGGCCACTGCACTCCCGTCTGGGCGACAGAGTGAGACTCCAACTCAAAAAAAAAAAAAAAAACAAATAAAATCTGGTTGGGGCGACAGATGAAAAACCTGAAATAGCATGAATAAACTAAAGTTCTATTGGTGAAAGACCTAAATAGACAGCAAATTTTTATCAAAATGGAGTTGACTAGCAGGCAAAACCTTGGGACTGTTTTAACTACTCTTTCCAGTCCTAATATTCCCCCAAAGCAGCTTTAGGCTGTTCCCTCCTTCAGTCATCCCTCGGCAGAGAATATGTACTTGGTTCACAGCTGCTTCTGGTCAAGGCTATGCAGTAGTATGTTTTGGGCAAGGGAGAGGTGGGTTTTGTAAAGGATCCAGGTCTCTGGGTGAAGGCCTGCCATAACCTTTTTTTTAAAGGAAATGCTTAACAATGCCAAAGAACAAATACAACATGTGTGGTGTCAAGAATGTGAAAACAGACACCCATGACCCCACCTCATCCCCCTGAGAAGGGAGCATGGCTCCCTGTGGAGCCCTTGCACTGCCCTGTTCCACATCCATTTCTGCCAGGTGCTTGCTCTCGTACTGTTTTTGTTTTGAAGTTTTAGATTCTCTGTCATCCCACGAGAAATATATGTAATGACATTATCTGAGAGCATTCGACAGCTTCATTTATGATTATTTTAAGGTTGAATTGCCGAAAACTCATGAAAATTTTTATTGGCATTAATGCTCAATCCCCACATTTATATTGAAACTTTTCATAGATCAGAATGGAAAGCATTTGCCAATTCCTGGCCTTGTCCCCACTTTTCATCCCCAAGCATATGTTTAGCTATCTTTGGGCCCCATGAGGGGGAAAGTATCAAGTGTTCATAACTACAAATAGCAATACGAGTGACCCACTTCCCACCATGGCATTGCCTGGGCAGGGGCAGCAGGGTGTCCCTGGACGACTGGTACACTTGGACACAGGCAGCACTCAGGTCTCTTGTTTTCTAACCCGTTAGTCTCACTGTTCCTGAAAAACACCAGTAGCAGCACTGTAAACACACAAGTCCATCTTAGATTCCTGAGTGTGGTCTTGGTGTGAGGAGCTGTCTGATTTCACAGAGTAACAATCCAATGTCAGGCCTGTAGCTGAATGGCTCTTCACCCCGTGTTGGCGGGAACGTACTCATTAACGACTTTACAGCTGGTTGCTTCTCAGGGCTGCACCACCAGTTAATTTGCTGACAGTCTGCTTAGGATAAAGCATGCCAAAAAGAAAGCTTTTCTTTCCATCCTTCTCCTCTGGCCAAAGAACTCTTAGAGCAAGAGCAGTTTGTTTGTATTGTATTGTATCCATTCTGCAATGCTATAGATGATAGAACACCTTGATGTTTACCACTAAAGAGAAAGATGGTGTCATTAAACACACAGTCAGTTACAAGCGATCCTGGTCTATACCATATATGTCTTCTAAATAATATAAAATGTTTGTATAATATGTAATACAGTATAATCATACTGTATATATTCTGTGACTTTTTGACCCAGCATATTTCTGAGATTCTGCCATGTTAATACATCTGTAATCAGTGATTTTTTGTTGATATTTAATAGTCTGTCATGTCTGCATGAAACAGTTTACTTTTTTGTTCTGTGGTTGAGGAGCCATGGATTGTTTCTAGCCTTTCTCTCTTAGAGACAGTGCTTCTGTGAACATCTTCGTCTATGTGTCCTGAAGCACCTGTACCCGAGGGAGGGATGACTGTTTCATGGAGCATGCAAATGTCCAGTTTAGCAAGATTATGCTAAATT